CCTTACTCGTATTTGTAATATGTGTGAAAACGTTTGCATGCAGTTGATACTGATTTTCTAACTGTAGTAACCCAGTTTAAAAAATCTGATCTAATTGTGCTGCTTAATAACGTCGTGTTTGGCTGAAGCTTATTAATATGTAAAAATCCTTCTCTGCAGGCTTCTGGAAACTTCTTTCCTGTCTGTGTTGCAGCAACCAAACACTCTCCAAAACGCGCGTATGAACGTTAAGAAAAACTGTTCATACTGCTTGGGTCAAAGATAAATATTTTTTTTTTTACTGATTTCTCAATTACAATAATTAGAGCCTCATTAATAGTTGTCGTCTTCTTCAAATACACGTATGGCTATGCAACCATTGTTTCGTAATTCAAAATCATAAACTTTGTGGGAAGTTTTAAACATTTGACTGGTTCATCGTGTCTAGGCAGCTGAATGAGCTGCTGGAAGTTAACCTGTACAAGACTGTGCATCAGGCTATTGCCAATAGGTGTCAGAGCAGTGTGCCACATAGTTTTGCTTCCCTGTCCTGCCTCCTTGCATTTGGTACCAACAAGATTTTCTTTTCAAAATACGTTCTAGTCTGTAATTACAGTCAAAGCAAATGTCACAGCCAGCAATAAATGAACAGCTCTGTGTTCCTGGACTGTGGTCCTGGACAGCACTGTTTACAGGATTATTAGATGGTTACATTTTTAGAACTGAGAAAACAGTTACATAGATGCTGTATGTCTGGACAATTACTCCAATGATTTTTGGTGAGTGATAAAGCAGAAATCCACAGCAAGATCTTCCTGAAGGCCAGAGCTGAGGAACACTGTAATAGCTGCAATCAAGAAATGAAATGAAAGGAGATCACGCAAGCTGCTCTTTCAATAACAAGTCTTTCTGTTCTCTCTCTCTGTCCAGATCGTCTCGGTCCTCTCTCTCGGTCTGATCCTCAGTGTTCAGTGTGAACTTGCAGCCACCTTCCCCTTTGCCTTTGTCCCAGTGAGCCCAGAGAGCGAGTGAGGCTGGACAGACAGTCAGAGCAGAAACTGGACATGGAGAAAGGTAACGAGGAGGACAGCGAGGAGCAGACCGGTGGTAAAAAGGTAAACATTTACAGAGGGCTCAAGTGCAGTGGTGACCAGCCATCATGGCGGTGCTGCAATTGTTCTCTCTCCTCTTTGGCCATCAGTGCCATTTATAAGAGCATCGTCCTCCGTCTCCACTGGGGTGAATTATAACTGTGACCCAATGCCTCAAATCCATAAGCTGCAGAAAACAACTTTGCTCCCCCCCACCACACACACAGAATCTATTTCATTTTTAAGCAAGTGGAAGGCACACATGTTTTAAGTTTTCTTTTCCATTCCTAGAATTCATCTCTTGTTAGATACAAACTTTTGCACATTAAACCCTTAGTTCCTTAAATCCATGTGTGCTGTTTTAGACCAGAAGTGAATATCTGCTTTTCTTTCAACCCTGTTAGGAGCTATACATACAGTATATTGTAGTTAGACGATTGAAACAAAAGACACCATTCTTAAACAGATCTTACTAGTCCACCTTATCATTTAAATCCTTACAGGACAGCTGGGTGACGACCCTGAAGTTGGGCACTTGGCCTTTCAGAATGGCCTTGGGCTTTGACAGAAAGGTCCACAAAATTAAAGGAGAACAACAGAGCAGCTGTCCAGAAGCCACAACTAGTGCTGAACCCGACTCTCTCATTGTAAGTTACGCTGAAGAAGATGAGAGTCAGGAGAGGGGGGAGTCAGTCTGCACAGCAGAGGCTATACATGCAGCAGAAACCACTCAAGACAGTCCTCTGGAGCATCCAGGCAGCAAGCAACAGGGTGACAGAGATGATAAGAAGACTGCTGTTCAGCTGACCACGAAGAAGACTGTGTCTGCAAAGGGGAAGAGAGATGAGAAAAAGGAAGTAGATACTGCTGGTAAAGCCCCTGAGGCCATGGGAAGCAAGGCAATGAGGAAGAGTACAGATAAAACCAGTCCCAAGAAGGCAGTGCAGGCATGCACAGAAAAACCCACTGCACCCGTGAGAACAGTGATAGTAGAGACAGAAGCACCCAGACCCCAGGAGAGAGCCAAGCCCTGTCCTGAAGACGTCTCAGAGAGCAAGAAGGCACCCAGACCCCAAGAGAGAGCCAAGTCTGGGCATGAAGAGATCTCAGAGAGCAAGAGGGCACCCAAACCCCAGCAGAGTGCAAAGCCCAGGCTTGAAGAGGACTCGGAGAGCAGGGCACACAAGCCCCAGGAGAGAGCCAAATCAATGCCTGAAGAGATCCTGGAAAGAACGACAGCTGCTAAACCCCAGCAGTGTGTCATGCCCAAACCTGAAGAGGTCTTGCAGAAAAAGAAGGCTGCCAAACCTGGCCAGGAGCAGCGCCCGGAGCCCCAAGTTCTTGGAGAAGCTCCTACCATCCAGACGTCATCACCAACAAATCCAGATGAGAAAGAGGAAGAAATGCATGCAAAGTGAGTAAGAGAGATTCATAGAGGGCAATGCTGTAATGATTTGAGCACTAACATTGCATGTAGGATCTCTTTTATGTATTGCGTTCTGCATGGTGTGTTTTTGGTGCCGAATCTCAGTTGATGATGGCTTCAGTTATCTGGTTCTTTGCCTTGACTATGTCAGATAAACCACCTTCTGAAATGTTATCAAGATCCGATCAGAGTGGGAAGAGAGGTGAGGAAAGATGTACATGTCACACACTAGTGAAGATCACAGGTGAAGCACCATACAGGAAGCTTGCACTTCTGTCATTCCCCATCCTACCACAGCAGTGTCGTTTCATTCTGCTAAAGTCCGGTGTTTCAATTAGAACAGGCTAGCCTGTGGTGAGGGTAGTGTCTAATCAGTATGATGTCCTTAGGGAGATGTCCCGTTTTGTCACAGAAGACTGGGCAGCTATAGGGAAGGAAGAGTCGCTCACTGAGCCACAAATCCAAGGTGAGTTAAGGCAGCCCGGCCCTGTGCCTGCAGGCATATGATCACGGACTACTTATTTACTTCATTTCTCGTAATTATGACTTTAAGTCACTGCATGGGCTCGAACCCAGGTCTTTGGGTATAATAAATATTAAGTTGTAATTCTGAGATTTTAAGTCACAATTGTGAGATATAAGTCGCAATTGCGAGATATAAACTCGGAATTCTGAGATACAAAGTCGCAATTGCGAGATACCATAGCGCGTTTTGGTTTTACTCTCTGGCGGAAACGGGCTTCCATAGCTTAAATCAGTCAACAGTCCATAGGATATTATGGTTTTTAGATGATACAATTTGGTTTTTTTACAGCTTGTACTCAGTGAAACATCAATAGTTGGGACGTGTAGCTCTTTTTGCATCTTGATTTCCATGTGTGGCTTATAAAAGCTTCAGTATTCAGCAGGCCATTGGAATGTCACAGTCTGATCTGATACGGGCCCCCCTGGTGTAATTGTTTTCACAGTACTCTGCAGGTGTTATTAGTTCAGAGCATTGGTAATACATCTATATACAAATCAATATTGATGTGAACGGCTGTAGTGCTGAGCTCTGATGGTGGCACACTGCTTATGCATTTGTTTGTGGACCCAGCTCTATACAGTTTGAATCTTACTTTTACTTTGCTTTTAACTCAAATTAATTTTTCATTTGTATTGGGTTAATGTGGAAATCTTTCATTGTGAATACTGATAACCTATCGTTACTGATTGCATTTGCTGACTGTATGGGAATATTAGAATATTATTAAATTATTAGAAGGAGACCATTTTTCTAGAAGTTCATTTTGTTAGCTTTTTCCATGGATGTTAGGCTCCTGTGACTAGTTGTGATTGTCAGTGAAGAGCTCTTGCTGGTGTGCATGTCAATTTACCATCCATAATGCTTGTCTATGGTCAGCAACAGCTGTTCCTCTCCTCTGGGTGTGTCCACAGCCTTCCAGGAGGTGTTTGAGCTGTTCACAAAGAACGAGGACGGCTACATCGACAGATCTGGTCTGAGGACCACTCTGAGTGCTGTGGGCATTAACATCAGCAATGATGTGATGGACTTGGCATTGAAGAGGGCAGATTATGATGGTAAGATCTCAGTCTTAGTGGATTTAACCATAACTGTTAACCTGAAAACCTGATAGCAGAAATTCAGTAAAACAGGACTTGATCGATACAGATGTTACAGGAATGGTAAATCAGTAGAACTGTTGGAGCTGACCTGGATTCCCTTCCTGTACTTGCATATCAAAGCCTTCATTGCCCAGTGCATCCAGTGCAAAGGATTCTTACAATGGTGCAAACTGTACTTTTGCACCATGCACAGCTCTTTGTCATCACAAGAAAATGCACACATGCTTGAAAATGCCTTAAACTATTCCTTAATGCCTTAAACCTTTAAACTATAAAACAGGCAATTAGATGACTTTGTTTGCAAAATGTAGAAGGTGGCCTTCTGGGACTTTTTGTTCCAAAGTCCATATAGGTTCCCATTTAAATCGGCTGCTGTGAAAGGGAACAGTGAGTATAACGGCAATGCTTTCATTGAGTGCAGGGGATGGAGAGGTGGGCTTCCAAGACTTTCTGACAGCCATGACGAATGACAGGAGGTTTTCCAAGTGTATGAAAGGTAAATGTCAGCACACCCAGACTAGAGCACTGCTGGTCCTGGGGACCCACATTCTTCATGGTTTTCATTGCAAATTCATGGTTTTCATGGTTTTTTGCAATGAGATTTCATTGCAAAAATGAAATCGGTCCATTTTTAACCACTTCTTCCAATTCAGGGTCGCAGGGGAGCCAGATCCTGTCCCAGCAAGCAATGGGCACAGGATCCATTGCAGTGCAGACAGACACACAAACACAGACACTCCCACCAGGGCCAATACACTCAGAGGCCAGAAGTGAGAGAAGCTTAAGTTACTTCTGGAATGCAATAGTTAAAATCGTCCTCCTACGTGGTTAGGAAGTGCAAACAACTAAATAAACCCACAGCACAGAACATGGATGAGACAGTTTCTTTTCCTTGAAGTTCATTCTCCAAGCTCTTTCTGTGGGTGTTAGACTCCAGCGTAGACATTTTTAATTTGGGGGGAACTGTAGACTTGAACAATCTACGAGTGATTAAATCGATACAAGTATGGAGGGAGTAAGCACTATCAGCGACAATTTCAATTGAAGCAGCTGTCCTGAGCAGGACTGATGGTGGTGTTGTCTTGTGATGTCTGTATGCTTGTCCAGCAGAGGCTCACGCCAGCAGCCATGCTGAGGATGTAGCTGACACCGTGTTCTTCAGAACGCTCACCAAGATGCTGGGAGTAGGTACCCTTCCCTACAAGCACACAGGAGAGATCGTGAGGTGAGACTATTGGTTGTATCTCTTAAGTTTGACTTTTTTTGTTTCTGACATTATTACACAGTGTTTAACTCTTTAGAATATGCAAATCTGGCATTATGGCCTTTATAGCAAAAGCATCCAATTCAGTACAGTTCAGTTTATTGTCCGATGAACAAGTGTAATTAAATGTTTATATGCATTTATGCTCCAATACAAGGACATTAAGAAAACACCAAAAACATAACATAACATAAAAGTAGGAGGTGTGCTCCTTCTCTGTCCTGTTCCTAGTTTCTCTGTGTTTTGCTTGTCCTTCCAGTGTGTCTTTGTGTGGGGCTATATATTTCTGGGTCACCCTTTACTCCTCGCTCAGCATTGAGGGTTTGGATGTCTTGAGACCCGCCTACCACCAGGTTGTCTCCTCCGCGGCCTGAGGGCACAGGTTTCTACCTGACTTCATCTGACCTGCTGAGCCCGGGCTAACCCCCGTTTTGCCACTACGCATTGGGTCTTTTTTGCCCTCCTGGCCATTCTACGGCTTGCCCTTTCTGACATTTACTGACTAATCTATCATTGGACATTCAGTCAATCGCACGTGACACTGCAGCATGAATATTTACCAAGAAGTTACCTGTAAAGTGGTTAATTTGGTATAAAATATATAAACAAAAATAACTTTCTGAAAAAAATCTGATAAGCTATAAAACTGTACAATATTTTGCTGGCATTATAGTCACTTCACAATTCTGTAGTCCTGGAATTGCTGTGCTAGTTGCTAGCATGGACTTGCAAGGCTCCTTTCTGTCCCGCAGGTACTATCACAAGAAGTACTCAAGGAGACTTAGGCGCAAGGTGACTAAACATGACGGCAACCATCTTATTGGGTACTATACCAAAGGAGCCTGCCTTCTGGGATTGTCCGGAAAGCAGCTCCTGAAATATTTAGTGCCACTGGGTGAGTTAAAGCACCTTCACATGTCTGCAGTGTACAGTACCAACGTGTCTCCAGTGTTCCGGTTTTGTTTTTCTTTTTCCAGTAAATATTTGTCGAATAAATATAGTCCTGCATTTTCCACGTCCTCTTGGACGACTATAATTATCTGCTACATCAAATTCAGGGTCTATCCTGGCAAGCAAAGGGCACAGGACACCAGTCCATCACAGGGCACACACACAGACACCAACACTCACACCAAGGACAGTCTTCCCAAAAGCCCATTAACCTACCAGAATGTCTTTGGACTGTGGGAGGAAACCGTAGCACACAGAGGAAAATCACACAAACACTGGGAGCACAAATTCCACGCATGTAGCACCCCAAGTCCGGAATGAAACCCAAGCACTGTGAGGCAGCAATGCTAACTGCTGTGCCACTGTGCTGCTTAATCCCCATTCATTTTACAAGAAATAATAACCGTAAAAAATGGGACCTTACCCTGTTATTATCATTCCTAATTATTAATCATAATAATTTCCCAGGTGCATAATAACAGGGATTCTAAACCACCTGGTAATAAATGCAGAGCTTTAATACCACTTCATACTGCAGCTTGAATGTGAATGTACAGAGCAGCTGTTCATACTGAAGAAAAGCTGAATGAAGAAAGTTCTGCCTCAGCGTTGCAGCATGTTGTATAGCAGGCTCTTTATTACCAGCCTCAAAGCTGTTACAGAAAGCAGCAGCAACTTCGTGTGTCAAGGAAATGAAAATATGGATGTTACTCCCTTGTGATTAAAACTGGTGTCTTTCATTTACTCAGTATGAATGGCATTTAACAGAACTAAGTGAGGGTTTTGGCCCACAAAGACAACCTCACTCTTTCATTTTCTTTTTATTCCTCCTACTTATGGAATGTATTTGGAATTAATATGGACTGGAATTTTTTCCACAAATGCTGCTGCCCAGACGCCTCCACTGTTGGTTTTGGAGGGCCTGTGTTTGTGGCTTTTCATTCCAGCTCAGATATTGATGTTCTAAGTCAAGTCATTAGCAGCTTAATACTGCCAATTTAATAACTTCTTCCAACTCTTTAGGCACCAGTGCTGTAAAGAATCAGCTGATCAGCTGATGCCATGATCCAGGCTTGAACCAGCAATATCTGCATCCTGTTTGAGCCACTCAAGAGACTTCAAGCCATTGTTTTTCAGTATTGCAAATGCTCTCTATAGAAAGTTTCTGTTTGTGTTTTCTTTGTGTAGATATCTTTTCTGTGCTTGTAGAATTAGGTAGCTGCGTTGCTGTGGTTTAATGGAATTGACAGGCCTGTGACTCTAAAGCCTGTCCTCTACTCTCTCTGCCAGACAAGACAGACAGCCCCTATTCCAAGATGCCCAGTCTCAACAAGGAGTCGTGTGTTCCAAAGCCTAGGCTCTCTGGATTCTCCAAACGCAAACCCTTCCAGTTTCTGGCCCAAAGCAGGCAGCTGACAACCCAACAATGCAAACTCATGGTGAGGACCAGCCCTTGATTACTGGAAAACAGGTACACAGGGGGATTTTTGAGGCTCATTTTGGTACAGAGCAAAGTTTTGGGCCCTGTTTTCAGATGAGTGTGTGAAGGTGTGAAGTGCATTGCAGGCTTCCATACAACCTTGACTGACATATAAATCTATAGACAAGTATGAGTAACTCCAGGTAATAATAATTACCTGCACTTGTATAACACTCTTTATCCAAGGGTTTCATAATATTTCACACATAGGAAACAACCTACTTCATCCAATGAACAATACAATGAGGTGCAGCACCCATGTCAGTGATGGGGTGATACACAGCCGTTCTACATCAGCAGCACCATTGCACAACAGATAAAGTGTGGAAGTGAGAAATCACGTCACCTAGATTTAACAGGTCTGAAGTGGATTTCAACCAGGACACTAAGGTTAAGACCTGTACTCTTCTGATCACTGCCATGGAATCCTTAATAACCAAGCAGTCAGGACTTTGGTTCAACTTCTCATCCATAGAGCGGCACCTTCTGGAGCATAGTGTGCCCTGTCACAGCTTATTCGATTTGCCCAAAACTCCGCCACCTTCTGCTCTACAAAGTTATTAATAAATAAATCCACCACAATGGTAGAGTTCCCCCCTTTTCATTACAACCCAGATCTTAACTGTGCAATCGACATAGTTATTTGGATAAGATCAGTGACATGTTTTTTAAGCTTTAAGCAGTAGGTAATGAGAAAGCACACCTCTAGGATCCCTGACATATAAATATATACACATATTTCACTCCTGCATAGTTTCTACATTTCCAGTATCAGATTTTTGCAGATCATTTCAGAAAGGTAGAAAGAGCCTTGAAAATCCTCCTCTTTAATATACTGGGAAAATCAGATCATGGCTCAATTTATTAACAAAATAACTGAGATGTACCAGTAATAGTACACATTGATCCAGTTAGTAATGTCTGCACCAAGCAGGAGGTAAATGAAATAACTAGAACGGGGTTACCAGGTGGTACCTGAGGGTGAGGATGAGGACAGGGTTGTGCAAAAAGGGAAATTAAATTCTGCAAGATCACCCCTTGACCAGGTTTTACACTGTAGGTCTCTTTAATCTATTACCTGTTGAAGACCCGAGAAAGACGGTGACAGTGACATTAATGTTTTGTTGCAATTCAGAGTCCTCAACAATAATCATACTGAACATCGCATTATATAAATTAGCTATGAATAATTTAATTCTTAATATATTAAAGTACACCCATTTATGCATTTACCCCATTGGTGAAAATAACTATAAAGTCTTTGATAATCAATGATAAAGGACCTGAGATTACATTTCTGCATACAGTAATCTGCTACTGTGTGACTTATGAGGCCATTTTTACCCATTATTGTTCATGGTGCAATGGAAGTGTTTCCACGTAGACCTCCAAGTGGATCTGTGGAACCACAATGAGCAATGCATCAGTGATGTCAGTAGAAATACTGCTACATATGGAAAGCATGACTCATGAGGGTACAGTAAGAAGAGTGAGTTTTTAATTTAGTAGTGTGGTATTACTCAGAGGTCATATTAGAATGTAATGGTCTGAAAATTCCGAGAGGTCTCTTTTCCAAAAAAAAACCAAACCCTCAAGCTATACTGAAAGCGAATCTCCTTTCACCTGTTCTTTAAAGACTGTCCTGAGTGTCTAAACCACAGAGCCTTGGCTCTGAGTGCAGGTTGAGCTTTGTGATCCAGACATGACAAGTTCAAGGCAGGTTTATTTCACTGGCACTGATCCCCCAGGTAGCAGTGAACACTTGGCTCAGCTCCACCAGTGGTATGAGGCGGCTTGGGACAACTCAGATCAAAACACTGGCCCCTGAGACTTTCCAGGCACGTGCAGACTCAGGGTGATATCACCAAAGGGACAGGTCTCTTTCATGGCTATAGAAGTTGTAGCTGTTAACAGACAAGTGTGTCAATGGGCCAGCAGGGCACTGGTGCCTGTCTGCTCTGCTGCAGCCCCGAATGAGACTGTTACTGTGAGCCAAGATGTAACATCTCGCTTGACAATTCCAAATAAAGTCTCAAATTTATTCTGAGCTGCTCTGTAGCAGACAGAGTAAGTGCTGTGCACAGTATGAACGACAGAGGGCAGCATTGCTTAGACTGACACACACCCCTGGTGTAGAATTGGGCTGGGGAATTAATCACCCCTGTGTTTTCTATGATTGGTTTTCTATGATTCTACTGTATGAGGTATGATTGATTGAAGATACTTGGATAGTGACAGACACGTTTATATTACCCTACCAGTTACACTACCCTATCAAATAGACTCTGAGCAAGCAACTGGATGCAGGTATTTACAGTATATTCTATGTATCAATTCAGATTTGGCAAATCAAGCTTATATGGTATATTCTGCCTGAAAGGTTGCTGGCTCTGCCACTGAAATTTAGGTATCTCAGACCTTTGCAATCATTAACATATTTAATTTAAGGTTTTAAAGTTGACATGCTTCTCTACCGAAATATTAGACAATAATACAATAATATGTTTCACTGGAGTGACCCTTCCTCTCCAAAGCATGTGGTCTGTCCCATGACCCAGCAGACCATGCTTTTTTCTCAGTGTCCTGTGGGAAAGCTATTGGTGATCTGGTTAATACTTGACTTCAGACAGCCTGAATATTAACCAGACTGTTTCCTGCACTTCATGCACAGATGTGTCAGATGCTGTTGATTGTGCTATTCATTGCGAATATAATTGACACTGGATTGACCTGCTATTAGGAGTATTCCCTAATATGACAGATCAATTGATAGACTATTACTGGAAATATAGTTTCTCAGGACTTTGTAATATCCTAGCACTACCTTTTCTCCAGGTTACAAGTAAGCACCCTGGGGTGGAGACCAAGCAGATGATCACCCCAGTGAAGATCAAAGTCAAACTCACAGCTGAAGAAAGAGCCAACATGGACTTCAGAATGGTTTATGATGTACGACAAAAGGTACAACACAGAGGTTCAGCCCAGACAGGATGTTCAAGTACTGTATGGGGATGTCATTAGTAAATCATGACTGGGATTCTGTTAGTGGAAGCTCAAAATCAGTCATGCATTACCAAGGTTGGCCCTGACACAAGGGATTGGGGTGTCCTTAGTATGACCCCTGTGACCTCTGAAGTACACATAAACTGCCATTTTATGTGCTGTTACAGAAAGAGCTGCATCCCTCCTACACTCAACTGTAGGCGCTTTGGAGCTCATGTGAAAAATGGAGGGTGACCTGGCAGAGCATTTTTGTCAGAAGGAGCACAGTCACATCTTGGCCCTGCTAGCAAGATGCTCATGGCAATGAACTGATTGACCACTACCCATCCATCCATTTTCTAACCACCCCTTCCCTTTGTGTGTCACAAGGGAGTCTGGGCATATCCTGGCAAGCAATGGGAGCAAAGCAGGATGCACCAAGGATGGGACGCCAGTCCATTGCAGGGCACACACAGACAGACACACACTCTCACCAGGGCCAATTTACCCAGAGGCCAATTAACCAATATGTCTTTGGACTCTGGGAGGAAACTTCCACACAGGTTCGCCCTTGGTTTGGAATTGAACCCAGGGCCCCAGTGCTGCGAGGCCGCAATGCTGACCACTGTGCCGCACAGATTGACCGCTAGTAAACAAAACATAAACACATTGTAACAAATAAATAGGGTAGAAAAAATGGGTTCAGATGAAAGACAAAAAGAGAGGGATGAATACAGGCAACAGGCACTGTGCTGTATAGCAACGCTTGTCTCCAAAAGAACAAATCCTGAAAATGAATGCAACCAGGTGCAGTTCATTTGTGTTTCAGTCTCCACCCAGCTTTGCAAGTTTTTTTTTGCAATAGTTTGACTCGCTAGCAAAAAGACAGTGTCCCTGAAGACCAACTGTGAGCATTTTTTTTTCTTAAACCAGCACAGTGGTGCATACACTTTATAGGCAAGTTGAAAATGTGTTGACTGTGTCCTGGGGGTGTGCTCAATTTTCTATTGTCCCAGATCCCATCTCAATCATTGAACATTCTGTTGGTTGTTTTAATTTGGAAAGTACAAGCACAAATTAAAGTATTTCAAATGGAAAACAAATCGACAACATAGGCACGTGATGTTCTGTTTTCAAAGGGAGTAGCAAAAACTCAGTTTTCAGTCTTCACGTGTACACATGGCACACGTGACAGGAATACCAATACCAAGTGCTCTGTGTGTTGGTGTGTCTTATGATGGTCTGTCTTTGTGTGCAGACGAAAGAAGGCCTAGACGCTTACCTGAAGACCCTGGTCCAGAGCAAACAGGGGGACACCTGGCAGTACTGGGGGAAGCTTGGGGTCCGATTCTCCCCAGAGAGCCTGGCCAAGTTCCACGAGACCTTCTCCACTTACACCTGGAGCTGGACCGGGTATCGCAACCTGCTGCAGCCCCAAGATTTGCAGAGCGGCGGGGAGTTCTTCCCCTCCTACACCCAGCCTCTTGACACCCCACACCCCTCTACTGCCCTCCCTGGGCTCCTGACAGATTCCCACTCCAAGGAGCCCCGCTGACCTCTCTGAGCCCCTTTCACTTTAGTATCCCTCTTTGTCTCCTTCTAATAAAGAAATTCCTCTCAGTAGAAAGTGATCCAGTTGTCACGTCAGTCATTTGTCTGCTGAACGGACCAGAGATTTCTGTAGCTGCTGTAGCAGTCAGGCCTCCATACACTAAACTTGAGCTCGAATCCTAGCAGCAGGTATACAGACCATGGAGCCATGGTTATGGGAATATTTGTGGAGGCTTTTCTGGTAGTCAGTCCTTTTGCCAGCTTTGGGTTAGTGCTTTCTTGTGACGTTAGTGATGGTAGGTATGTATTTAAAATAACATCAGAACTTCATTTCCACATGTACCCTGCCTTGCGCCTGTTGCTTCCTGGGATAGACTCTGTCTCCTCTTCCACCCTGAAATGGCTGAAGCATTTAGAAAATGAATGTAGTGTAGAGGTTTGCATGTATTTTTGGCACTAAGGTCCATCTTTAGCACTTTAAAACATCAATCTTTAAAACATTTGCATTTGAGGCTGTGCTAAACTGTTATTAACACCAGTCCAGGACTCAGACTTACTTACTGACTTACTTAGGTCTTTGTAGTCGTATTAAGCAGTCTTGTTGAAGAATAGTCACAAATCCAGTCTTTACAATTTCAGACTTTCTTCTGTTTTAATACAGAGTAAGCTTCATGTACATTAGCGACAAGGTAAAGGCTTTAATGGCCTGATAAGAAGTCTTCCGGTGACAAAAAGTAGAAAGATAAATGGTAAAAAAAACTTTTGAACTAGAAAAAGATAGGGAGTATGTAAACTGAGCTGAGCTGGCCTGTCATCTTGGGCACAGGCACAGATACAAATTCATTCAGATCCGTGAAGATGTTGGGAATGTAAGAGTCCATTGTACGAAAATCCAAACAAGTTTGGAGAACACTATGCGGATTGTGTGGCTTTTGTCTGTCCAGGAATTGTTCAGATGCCCGCTCTGAAGAATGTGTGCGGAGCCCGGCCTCTTTAATGACATTATTTTATTCACTCAGGACTGCAGCGGCCGTGCCTTTGTGTGGATACAGGTGTGGTTGGGACAACACTCTCCGCTCTCGCCGAAACTGTGAGTTTGATGTGGGTTGTTTTGCACTTGCAGCTGGGAGAATAATATCGTTATCAACCACCTTCAGCAGAATTCTGCCCGTGTCTTCACAATGTGAGTACGGCCTGGTGGGAGATTCTGTGCTTAGCTTCATTGCGGTCCGGTTTGTGTCCATTCATGAGATCGATTTCACCTGCAGAACTGAGGTCAATTCAACATCTGAGGCAGGGAGCAATAGAATCTAATGCGCAGTGTGTGTTTTGTAAGAAGACGCAACAAGTAACAGATCCGATCATCATGTGCAGGTTGAATTTGCTTAAATGTTTCAGCTTCTCTGATCTTTTGGTGAGTAATTTGAAAAGACGCAGTCTGAGACCTAAGGAATCAGATCAAGAGACCATTTCTATTTGCCTTGAGTAAAGCCTTGAGTTGCTTTTCAAAGATTTGTGAAGTGAAACAAAAAATGTGTTTTCTTCATTCGGACGATATAGTGAAAATCTAATCGACGGCTTGGATGAATTAACTTGACGTCATTTATAAATCAGTCATAATATTTTAACATCTCCACCTAAATTAACCTAACAGGCTTATTGAGTTGCGTAAAGAATGTATTGCCTTGTACCAAATCTACAAAGTAGTGCTGTAAGTCATTTTGTAATGTTTTTCCCCCCAAGTAGAAAGACTTTTCAGATTCGGTTGTCTTGTGACCTTTGTTCTTGGACTTTAGTGTTTAGTATCTTTAGTGCAATTTGTATTACTTTTTTTGACCACCACTGATTTATAGCAAAGCTGTTTAGTGGCAGTACCATGAAGTGTACCGTGTTTACATCATGTTAGTGACAAATTGCCAGGAAAAGTATGAAGAATAGTGACATTTCCTTAATTGACCTGTATATCGCAGTGCAGTTTGTGAATTGGCAGGCAGCTCCTTTAATGTTAATTTTATCCAAATGAGAGCCTTAATCTCCATGTACTGTAGGGATAGCAGACTGTAAAAGAAAGGAAATTCAGCCTTTGACAAAAGCAATGAAACTGGTAGATCCAGACTGACTGTTACATCACTGTCACTCTATTCCTGTCTCCACCTTGGCAACAGAATAAGAGAAAGATGCTCCTTTCTTTACTTTACTTCTTTTTCAGATCACTTGAAAATTCCACTTTAAAGGCAGTTTCACCAGGCGTCTGAAGCTGCTGGCAGGAAGAATGTTGTACACTGCTTTGCAGGCCCAGTGTCTCTGTATTCAATGTTGAATACTGACTAACAAAAAGCAGGGACCTTTGACAAAAAATAAATATTAACAAAAAAAAAACAAACAGGTAGCAAACAAGAGACAAAGGAACCCAGTCCACTCATCAGCTGCAGGTCAGCTGTTGATTACAAACGCTCTTTTTTAGAGGTTTGTTCATAAGGTTTTGTAATGAGGCTTGAAATCAAAAGGTAGTTTTTTTGCAAAAGGTCATTGATGTATGTAACAATGACCCAGCAGAACTGTTGAAGCACTATCCTTTGAATCATGGATTGATGTAGTGTGCATAGATGCTCAATATGCCAAAGGGATCAAATTTCAGTATTTGACTAGGTTAGAACACATTAACCAACTATAAGCTCACTAACCCTGCTGGGGCCTGGCCAGATGTCTTTGGATGTGGCGGGTCTAAATTCAAACCCGTTTTGCACGCCAGGAGTAAACAGGAGTGTGATTCGTCAAGGGGATCTTAGCTCGATTTTTGGACAAACAGCGTCTGCTGAGGTTTGCTCTCCTCCTGCACTGAATCAAGTCGAGTGATGAGAGGCTTGTCCATGAGAGATGAGAGGCTTGTATGTTAAAGGAACTTGTGTAAAGTAGCTGAATCTTTGAAGAGTTACTGTTTACATCTGAGTCACGGACAATGATTTGATTGCCAGTTATTGACTCTGTCATATACTGTTGAAAAGTCGGAAGTTGTTCCTGCCATTTCTTGATTGATGCCAGGGTGTTAGTTTCAATTATGTAGCTGTGGTTCTTTTTAGATTTAAATGCACCCTCACTCAGCTTCGACTTGTGATCTTTGTTTTGTGTTTTACTGTAGAGGTCCATTTTCATTGTCTTGGCCTTATTGATGATTTCGAAGACTTAGTTTTTTGTGCTTAGTTAAGTGTGCACCGCACTCATTGGATGAGCTCCCATTAAGTGGATCAGTTTAACTATTCTCCATAGGCCTGGAGCCATAGCTGCTGATCTTCTTGGTCACAACTTTTCCTGACCAGGACTAGGACCCTAAGTTTCAGCCATACTCGTTGACTTGTTCTTAACAGCCTGAACCTGGGGTCTTTCAATGTGAGTCTTGTGTCTGTAGGCTTTCATACACCTCAGTTGTTCACAGCCTAAGTTATAAGCAGAGAGTAATGGTCAGACAATTTACAGTATGTTAGCTCATTATTACCTTAACACCTCCTCTCCCCTGTTCAGATGTTGTAGCTCTACCCAAATCTAGGAGCAAGATTGCAGACCTTTGATTTAAATAGAAGCAGCAACAAAGTGTCCAGCAGAACATCACGGTACCCTATCAGTAGTGTGAGAAGGAACATGAAGAAATGGTGGACATAATTTAAATAAAGAGAATACATGTTTTGTGGAACAATTTGCAATCCAATCTTGCCCAAAGTCATTTTCCTACAAGCTGATCGCTGATAGTGTTGAGTTGGGGCTGGACTCACCACAGTTCAAGTCATTGCTGACTTTGACACGCTGGTATCTAGTCAAATGTAATTGCCAAATAAAGGCATGTATTTAAATAAAGGTATAGGTTTCACAGAGCATAAATGTTTCATTCAAATCTGCATAAAATAGGTGTTTATCATTTAATATATATGTTGAAAAGATACTATTTTAATGGTCACTTCATTTGCCTTTCCTAAACAAGAGAATCTTTTCAGTCTTTTTTGCTTTTCAGTAAGTTAGTTGCTTTCTCTTTAGAAACTTCACTTCGAAAATGGATACTATGGTTAAAAATCACATGAGCTGGTAGTAGCTGACGTACTTTGTAATTTTGTAATCAGCCTAAAGAGGTTGGATTGAGAACCAGGTCTGTCATTTTTTCAAATTCAGCTATGCCTTTGTGCAAGATTTTATTGATGATGACATAAAAGATCAACAAGAGGAAAAAGTCTTTGGGTTTTTTTTTGCATCAGTTTACATTCCTGAAAGATAAATAATATTGAAACCTTCTCAGGTAAGTTCTCAAAGGTGCCTAGTGCAATGATTTCAAACAGCTCACCGTGGCTCATAATTTTTAGCACTAACTAGGAGTGAAGAAATGCTGTATTTAGTTTTCTATCTAATCTAAATTTTCTTCTAGTGAGTTTCACTTTATATACTTTGTATAAAGTAGTCATATTCTAATGATTCTCAACTACAACATTATTTTACTATCATAAAGACTTCAATACCCTATTAGAGATATTAATTTCTTTAAGATAGCAAATCTATAAATACTTTAACACCTGCTGGAGCAGGCAGACAAGGATTGGTACCCTGTATATATTAAACTATGTATTTCACAAGATCTGTTTGAAATAATTGCCGAGATGAACACGTTGCCTGGTGAAAAATACATTTAACCAAAAACTACTGTGAAAAAACCTTTCAGATTCAGATAGACAGTAGAGTGTCAACATGTACAGTACGTCTACAAATGGATAGTTCTGGTTGCCTTGTTTTGGTCTCTGCTGTCTCTGTTCTTCTGTCCTGAGTCCTTGTGTCCTTCAAAGGACTTTATTCCCAATACAGCCAAACCCGGGTCTTTCAGCTGGAGTGCTCGGTTAGAGGGCTGCACTCGTGGGGCATCAGCCCAATAATGATAAAAACCCTGGGCACAGGACAGCTCAGTTTTGATTGAATCATTTATTTTCAATCTGTTGTTTTTAATGTTTAACAGTGGCTGATATTTTTTAATTTGCTTCTCACTTGCTGTTAAGAGATTTGCACTGTCTCTCCCTGGTCAGATAAGCGGTACTGATGAGTTCAATCTCGCAATCAGACAGAAGAGTGATTGGCTGCTGTCCCAACACCGATTGATTACCATTCTCCTGTAACTGATTGATGACCACGGTCCTTGCGTCAATTAACATGTTTGTTATGGTCCTGTACTACAGTTTACTGTGTTTGTAACTAGGGTACAGTGTGCAGACTCGATGGGCTCACGACAGGAGGCCTGAGTTATCCAGTGACAGAGCCTAATTGCGTGCTCACCATCTCTTCCCAGCAAAGTCCCAGGGCTTAGACGATGTCAGGGGTCAGGAGGGGTCAGAGACCAGCCTGCCGGTCTGAAGCTCCCTTCTTTCTGCTGCCACCCCAAAACTCGGCAGTCCACCAAGGAGATACAGCGACGTTCTATGTGAAGGTGAGCAGAGACCGCGCTGGACAGGAAGAAATTGTCGCGCCTCTCTTCCCTCTCTGCCAAGGGCTGAAAATGTGAGAAAACAGGCTCAGAAAGAGCTGTTTTAATTCAGGTTGCAACATTAGAGTCATGGCCAAAAATGTAACCAAACGTCTAAAAACAATGTATGCAGTATGCGCGTTTCTAGCTCGTTTTGGAATTACAGTTGCAGGAACTGTGTATGCGTATCAACACTTTGTATCTGGAAAAAAAATGGTTATCAATAAGGTTATTAAAGGAAGATTTGTCACTTGTTAAGTATTCTTATTGTTCCAAGACACAACTTCAGAATGAGTGATTCATACAGTACAAATTATACAGTGACCATTCTTCTGTCTTTGTCTCTTTCTACATTCTCAGTAATCTTACTTGTCAGAATCACAATAACTGATTTTTTATTTATGCTACTAAAAGATGCTCTTCGTCCAGGAGTCACAGGTGTCTATCGCTACAGCTGTCATGCATTCCACACGTGCTCACAAACGCCGTGACATTCCCACGCGCACCCACTCAGACGCTCACGCCAACTAATCTTCCCATCGCCTTTCACTCCCGTCACTACTTTAACCCTCCTCTTTCCCCTGACCATCGCTCACCATTTCGGATTCTTAGTGCGCATACCTTTCTTCCATAGCTTGTCCCGTTCCTTACTTCCTGACTCTTGCACGTTCCTGTCTTTGCGCTTTTGGATTGGTTGCCTCGCTGTGTTGTCTCCTCCCGGTCTTGACTATCGCCTGCCCCTTGGATTTTGGATAATAGGACTTGTGTATCTTTTTTGGTAGCCTTTTCTTATTTGGATTTCCTATTACTACGTGGGGAAATAAGCCTACCTGGACCCTGTATAGGAACCTTATTTTCAGCATTCATAATTGCTAACAGTGTTAGGAGGAATATATTGGTCCTGCAGATCTAATACTGGACCTGTTCCCATCCAGAGTTGGGTTCCATGTGAAGGGTCTGTTTCTGTGTCCCCTGGGATACTGGCAGTGATACTGTACATCAAAGCAATGAGGCAGAGCTAGGGGAGCTGCAGAACAGGCTAGGCTTCACAAAAATAGAATGACTTGTATTAAAAGATACTGGCACACAGCCACCTTCAAAGCCTGCACTCCTAACTTGTTGGACTCGAACCCTGGTCCTGGTGTGCAATCCAGTTAGTCTCATAGGTCATCTTAGATCGGTTTCTTTTTATATTAAAGTCAGCTGAAAGTAATTGATCAATTGAACAAGTAATTTCCTTTAGTTACAAGAATTCTTGTCCTTGATGGTTGAAACATATTATGATTTATGTTCAATTTATCTAAATCATCATTTAGAAAAATTGCCGTCATCAATATCTGACCTCCCTAATGTAGAAGTCACCTGTTGCAATAATCACATCTAATTTGTTCTATGAGATGGGTGATTTAATGTTTATCACTAGGCTGTACTGCTCAGGAACAGAAGACCCCTCTTTTTACTTCTGACACTTACAGTGGCTACTAAAAGTATACAGAATTGGAGTCCAGTTGTTTGAAAGTAACTTAGGTATGCACTGGCAGTCAGTAAATTATTTGATTACTCTCAATCGCATGTCATTGCTGTCCTTTTCTGTTGTGAGCGATAGTGTTAAAGGGAGGAGGTAGATCTGCCACAGGGAGAATGTGGAGCAGCCAAGTCTGTCAGCGTGTCTGTAAACTGTGGATCTCTCAGGCAGCCAATCAAAAGGATTTTAGTAGAAACCTGATTAAGGTTTTTATTTGTTAGTATGTAGGAATGTGAGAGGGGGTGTTTGTCTA